TTAAGTGTAGAAAAATGGTAAAACTAAAATTTAACTTCCCCATGGAAAGACCATACAGGTATCATAGAAGAATGAAAAAAAGAAAGAATATAATTGCTCTCCTTTGTATATTATGTTGATATAGATAAGAAAGATGCTGAAGTAGGCTGATTTAATGTGGTTCCTGCCATATTTCCGAGAATTTAGGCTTTTGAACAAATCCCCTCATTCTGTTTCCAGAAACAAAGCCTATCGTTACTGCATTAATTATGAGACACTCCATTTGCACTATTACTGACTGCTAATTACTTTCTGTGCATACAATACCTTCATGTGTCTGTTTCATGTTTCTCTCTGTCATTATTGTTAATAGGTGGGATATGGTCTTTGTTTGTTAGTGCATGGCTCTGCCATTGCATATTCTTATATATTCCCCACCAACTTTTATGATTACATAATTTTCACAAGGTCATTTTATTAAGATGGATTTTCTCTGATTCCCTCAAAAAGTTTAATATAATATATAACAGAGTGACATGACTTGTATGACCGTAAAGTAATCATAACAGAACAAAGATTTCTTCGACTAGTCTTATCAAATTATATATATTAAGACATTGTTACTTATTATAAGTTCTAATGAGCTAGTACTTGACATTGAACTCCTCTTGGATCAAATTTCAAGCTAACTGTTATTGTAAATTGTTGTATTTATCAAGAGAAAGAGGGACATTATTTGTATTTTAGGTTAAGTATCTACATATTTTGATAGCCTGTGTCTGTCTATGTTGTAGCTCTCTCCAAATCTTGGTCCAACACAACTGCTCATCCAAACCATATTTCTGCTTTGCTTAAAAATGACAAAATTACTGTTTGATTTCAAACAACAGCATGATGGGATTAATTTCTTGTATTGATGTTCATGTACATTTGCTACTTTTATGCCATAAGTGACTTGTGTTTTACCTCAGATTTTACATTAGCCGTAGTGAGCTTTATTTATTTATTTATTTATTTATTTATTTATTTATTTATTTTGCATCCATTTTTGTGACATTTGCTCCATAAGTTCCACACTATATTTTTGTTTTAATTTAGTTTTGTGAGTGGTCTTTGTTTGGTAAAAGGCAAGTTTAGTTTTTAAAAAAATTAGCATGGTTGCTTATTTTTCACATAAGTTATCTGCTGGTTTTTGTGGTGTTTTGCAAAACTGTTGTATATTGTGGCATGTAATGGTCTTAAAATGTTAAGATTATATATGAATTATTTCTTACTTTGTTTAGGTTACTGGAAATAATTTTCATTTCAGTGATTTATTTGAATATTTGTGGCTCTCATTTACAATGTGCATTGCTGCTCAACATGCCATTTTTATGGTTTCTTTTGGTAAAAAGGTAGTTTTTTTCATGAAAGTCAGCATGACTGGATTATTTTTTACAAAAGGTTTTGCTTTTTAGAATGTCTTCTCATGTTTAAACTACAGGAGCTACAGGATTGACCTTTTTCTTTAGAGTATCTGTATATTTGCTAGCTTTACTGTCTAGTTTTTATGTATAGCATGTGCTTATATCCCAGAAGCACTGGACAGAAGTTTTAGGCAATTTAAAAATGCGTGAACTGCATGTAAGTGTTCTTTTGGCCAAGTGTGTCAAAAAGGTGCAGCTTAAACCACATATGTAAAGTACTGTAAAAGTAGTGATAGATGGATAGTACCTGAATATCATTGAATGTACAAGCAAAATGGGAATTTTTTCTCTCCAATATCTAAATGGCTATTGATAGATAAATAGATCTAAATCTCCTAGATGCATAAATTTTAAATTTTGCTTCAAAATTTGATTTTCCTTGACATTTTCAGTATATCTATCAATTTTCAAGAATTCGGTAATACATCCTTGATATATATATATATATATATATATATATATATATATATATATATATATATATATATATATATGTCACAAAAACAATGAAAGTTATATTATTAGACAAAGGAAGTGAATCATGGCATCAAGTGCTTACCACACTCTGTAATTACTTATAGTTGTGTCTTTCAATAATGCATTATTAGAGCCCATTAAGAATGGCCTGTTACGTCAGTTGTAGGATTTGTCAGAATGGCAAAATATTCATACACTTAGCTTTTAGACAGCTTGCCTGGAATAGGTTGGGTTCACATTAATGTCATTCAGATTAGCAGTGAACCAGTCCAGAGCCATAGGAAAATATTTAATTGATATTTTTACATATAGTTATAAAAGTTATCTGTGTGAATGTGCTGCCACCTGGTGGATGTGTACAGTCTGTACTGTGATCAAGACTGGAAAGATGGCTGGAAAGTCTCATGAGGCTGATAGGTTTTTGCAGTTAAGAACTTTTATGAATTTTGCAATCTAAAGCTTCTGTGTTGCACTCGGATGACCAACACTGGTTGTGTTTTGGAATATTGTACTAAAGTAGTCTGATTAACAGTATATGAATAAAATTTCTTAAAGCTGAAATCCATCAAAAGCCAATTGCTATTTTATGCTATGAATACAAAGTAATTAAAAAATATTATAAAATCACAATCGTGGCAAAATATATTTGTCCCAAACCGATTCTGAACCACTACTGCTTAGTCTAATGTGAACACTTGTTTATTATGTGGTGTTTAATTCCTAGTGGTTAGCTAATTACCAGCACTAACTGCAGGGTCATTAGTCCCTGGGGAATGAATTAGCCATTAAACAAGTGTAGAGGATACAGACAGAATTGATGGCCGCTACACTTTCCCTCATGGAAATCCTGGTCAGAGAGTAAAATCTTGTTAATTTAAACATCTGTGGTCTGTTTGCCCTCCTTCTTTCTTTCTCTTTCTCCCTCTCTCTCTCTCTCCGTCTCTCTATCTTCCTCTTCCTCCAAACTCACTTGCCCAAGTTCACAAGCTTTCTCATTTTTCAGTTATTTCACTCCTGGCACATTCTTATTATTCACTTTCTTTTTGGTGAAGAGCATAATACTGATAATTTTATGAAACATCTCCAACTGCACATTGGTACATCTGGATGCTTTTTCATCTTGTGTAAGCTTTTGTTTTCAGGTAATACAACTTTTATTGTGTTGACAATCCTGATAATGAAGATCGTTTCACCTTTTAGAAGTTAAATCCATTAATTCTGTGGATTTTCAAACCTAAAATTTATTACAAGTACAGTTGAATGATATTAAATCACAAAATTAAATTACATTCAATCATTCCATTGATTATAAAGATACAGATACCGTTGCTGAAGCTAAGCTTTTGTCATGACAGGATTCTGCATTTTAAAAAAAATTGTTTTATAATTGTTTTAGTGTTGTCTGTTATTTATCTTGTGACAGCTAATTTTGTCATGATTTAGATTCCTTGTTGGACCAGACTAGCAGAGAATTGATTAATTAGATGTCTTCTTGTGATTTTGTGAGGCTGAGACTTACAGGCTATACAAAATATTTGATTTGGAATAGATTTAAATGAGGAATCAACAGAGAGGGACTGAATTTTTTTTTTTTTTCTTTTTTGGTTTGGTGATCAGTTCATTAAACTGCCCCTCCCTCTCTCTTTCTCTCTATAGAACATGAATATATGGATTAATAAATTTATCCTTCTCTTTAAGATGTGTAAATGAAGTAAATAAAAAAATATTTAAATGAAAGCATAAAAAACACATTCAGAGCAAAGCTCCTTCAGAACACATTATTATTAATCAAGGAGAAAGCTAAAGCATTTCAATCACAAATCTATTCACCTAACATTCACCGTTCATGTCTGCTGGTTTGAAAGTTTTATGAGGAGTGAGATTGCCGTGTTCCCTAGGGCCAGAGCCTAGAAGCTAGTTCTCTAAGTAGGCAAGGATGTGTAGTTTCAATTGATTTTATTATCCGCTGTCAGTGAAATTGGAAATTTCTTGGGAGGGACCATGGTATAATGAGATCAAACATGGTGTGATAGTTTTTAAAAACTTGTTGGTGAGGCTGGGAAGGTGTGTTGGACCCCAGTCTGCTGATGTAGCTTTTGTTTGACTGTACAAGTATGTTGTATGTAGTTTTAATATTCACTGCCAGGCAGACTGAACATGGTAATGCCTGCTTAAAAAGACGATGTGCAGTTTGAAACGATGTCAAAACTAAATGACAGAATTGTAAAATTAAGTCCACTGAAAAGAGGCTGTCCATTGTTCACTTTGATTGAATTTTTTATGTGTGTATTTATCATCCCTTTTCAACAAAAAATTGATGTTCTAAACTCTTGGAAGTGATTCTGACACTGAAAATTATGTAGTGTTGATGTGATTTAAAAGTGATTTTATTATCAGGCTACTGGTTAAAAACATTTTATGGCAAAATGAGACCAAGTAACATGCACCAGTTGACCACTTTTACATTTGTTTACATGACAGCTTCTTTTAGGATGTTTGGTCATTTTCAACAGTGGTCATTTTATCTGGACATGGTCATCAGAATTGGGTGTCATTATAACTAATAATCAGCAATAGTAAAATCTGTCTGCTTTCAAATAATTTATTGCATGATCTGCATTGATTATTTTACAATGTCCATCAGCTTTTAATTTCAGCATACTTTTAGCCTATCATATGTCTGCCAGCTAACAAGTTTAATAGAACAAATGTAAAATAATCATGTTCAATTTCAGGATCAAGGGAGATATTAATGGTACAATAAAAGTTCAATCTGATTTAGATTATTGGCAGTTAGATAGCTAATGGGTATTTGTAAGGTTGTACTTGATATGGCTGTGTTTCAGTGCACCGCTTTTGAATAGTGGTCATTTTAATTACAGTTTATTCCCTGCTTAGAATAAAAAGAATGGTGAATTGTATTGTTTTGTAATCTAAACGCTGTTAAAGCCCATCGCCCTACAACCAACAAAGTGTTACCTAACTTTTTTCTCTGTAAATTCTATTTGTACTCAAAAATTAAAAAAATTAAGAAATGGCATAAATATTGATTTTATAGAAATATTTTCTTCTTTTTAGGCTGGGAATGCACAAGCAAAGTGTTGGCATTGCCCTGGAGCAGCCAAGCGCTGCATGGTTTCTGAAACAAGTCCTGGCACCATTTGGTGAGGAAAGTGAGAAAAGAATTCAGAAAATACTAAAAAGAGTCACTCATGTTTCATCTTAGAGTGATCTGTTTTTGGGGACCAGAAATTGGAGTCTTGAACCATTAGATGACGAGATTAAAATACGACTTTTTTAGGCCCCTATGACCCGAGGAGATGGCCCAAGGACCTATGCCACAGAGTTACTCGGCACTGAAACTTTTCTAAACTTTTAGATAACTATTTTCATACTGTTTACCTACAAAATAAAACAATAGTAGTGCACTAAAATGAAATTTGTCTCCTGTTTTATGACAGTTAACATATGGTACGTACTTCAGACCAGTACTGCGCCTGAATCTTCAGCTGAAGTAGACCAATTTTTTGTCCAAAAGTTTAGACTAATTTTCGGGCTATTTTATTTTATTTTATTTTTGTGAAATCATCCGCTGGTCCTCTTGGAATGCACGCTCAGCGTCTGGAACACGTACACACCCTTGAAGGGCGATTTCACCAGTGAGTTCATGTGATACATTCCATTAAAGAAGTGACGGTGAATACTGAGCTAATGAGTGTTTAAGGGTGTCCGAGTACATTTGCATGGTTAAAAGCTGCTTAAATAGGTGCTGATGCGAAAGAAAAAACATTAATGAATTTTCCTGTAAAAATCTCACCCTTTTTTCTGGAAATGATAAGCTCGTTGAATGGAGCTCATTATTTTTTGTTACATAACTGACTAAAGGTTTTTTAAGCTTTAAATTTTTTTACAGCTTAGTTGAAGTAAAGAGTGAACTACCTGAAATTGAATGGGTACGTTAATCATGTTATTTGTGTACAGGTAGTAAAGCACGCGCAAACAGGGAATTCAATCAAAAATTAATTCTAACAGGAAGAGGAAAGTACTTTGATGAATGATCATTCACCAGACTTGATGATGAACCAATGATGAACTTATTTTGGGAGATATGATGTGTGTATATCGGTTAGCTTATAGAAGTTGATTTTCACAGACATGGTGAGTAACCATGCAGTGGTCATATATGAAAACGTTAATTGTAGTGAGTACTCCAAAAGAAAAGATGTAAATGCTTAAAAATAATTTTTAATTTCTTTTAATATAAGGAGACGAATTCATTTGATTGTAACTTCTCTTTTTGAAAAATTGTCGCTTGAGATTTTTATCAAACTTTGTGAACTTTATGTATTTTGCTCCCCAAAACACCAATAAACAAAATTCAACGATGAAAACAATACCAATGTTAAGCACTTAATCGCGTTTTAGTGGTTTTAGATTTAATTGAAAATGGACAGTCTAAGGTGTCTAAATCTCTAATGCTGATCCGCACATCGTGATAATCCGCAAATCGTGGGCAGATAATGATTTTGGCGTTTCGTGGTCATCTCTCGAATAGGCAAATATTGTCACTTATTAAATTTTTAGTGCACTGTTTTCCGTAACTCTTGACGGTGACAGTGCGATCGGAAGTTACTTGCATCATATTCCAACAGCAGTTTTGTTTTTAGTCGCCAACATATTAGTTCTCCTTGAAGTGGAGAGCTAAAACAGCTGGTAATGTAGATGTACATAGTTTTGCACATAAAGGATCAAAATTGATCTTTAAACTACGGGGAAAACCGAAAGTGTTAGCCTGCTAGCTAAAATTCAATTTTGTAACGTTTCTGTCATTTCAGACTTAGAAAGCACTAAAATGCTCTTGCTTTATTGTTATTTCAATATAGTTTAATAAATTTAAAGATAAAAATCTTTCAAACAAATCGCATATCTTATGCCAAATTTAAAAAAGGGGGGAGAGAGATATCGACTTATATTTAATAAAGTTGTAACGACTACTATTTTGTCTATGAATTACAGCTGGTTTTTCACTAACGTGGAATTAAACTAGCCAACCGTGGCTTAAAACGTGTAACACCATTTGTCTGAGGCGGGGAATGAACGCGCATATTATGCCAAATGCCAAAAAAAAGCGGTGGAGAGAGAGATATCGGCTTACATTTAAAAAAGTTGTAAAGACTATTATTTTGTCTTTGAATGAAAGCTAGTATTTCACCGACGTGGAATACAACTAGCCAAACGTGAGTTAAAACGCGTAGTACCATTTATGTGAGGCGGGGAATTAACGCACTGCTGCCTTCACACTACCTGATGTATTTCCTAAGTGGCTTAAAACGCGTTGACTAATTTTTCCCTTCTTTACTGAGAATGGAACTCATGTATGACTGAACACGGTGCGGTGCGTTTGTTAAAGGAACACGGAGTTCTCTCCTAATGGCTGGGAACATCTGGGGATGAGTCGTACCGGCAACTAAAAAAAAAGAAGCAGTTGTTTTCATGCTTCTGTTTTAGCGACAAGGAGGTGGCTTGAAAACGTGTCACATAACTGTTGAGATGTAGCAGACGATGAGTGCTGGAATTCCCAAGAGTAATCTTAGGTAGTTTCGAAACTGTGAGATTTACATTTGCTGAACAACGGATTTGAAATTCTCGAGCTAAAAATGTGCCTCGATGATGATGAACTGACTTGAGAGTGGAGTGATTGTGAGCACAGATGGGGGAGGGGTGTGGATGGCGAAAACGACCGCAAAAGCTGGGCACGCCACATGCTGAATAAACGTTTATCTTGTATGTATGCGAAACACACACTGTCTCGTGCACACTTATGCGCATACACAAGCGTACTCACACACTCGTCCATAACGACACTATGCACTCGTCCAGTATGAGTTACACATTTAAAGCATTTTAGGGAAAGGTGGGGTCAATATGAATGTTAAATGACACGGTTTAAACAGCGTGTTCATGTATTTTAGATTCCTTTAAAAGGTTTCAAAACGATGCAGGACCAGAAATCTTATAGGGAAATCATGGACGTTGCAAAATGAATTTGTTACGTTGTCGCCACCCTGTTCTTACCATTTTTGCTTCTCTAAAACGGTTTAGGCTCAGCTTCAGACAACAGGCGTTTGATTACAATCCCCGTAATCAAGCGCCATCCTTCTGGTCTTTTGGTTTGAAGCAAAAAAAAAAAAAAAAAAAAAAAAAACGAGCTACATGTACGAGAGTTTTAATGTTGCTTGCGAATCTACCTTTTTGTCATGTTGTTTTCTTCATTGAAATGTTCCCGTTACACAATCGACATACTAAAAAGAAGAACAGCAGAGCCAATGAGATAAACAGATATGACATTTGTTGTATTTTCCTTTTGCTCCTCCCCATGTATTTCATTGAACACTTTTTCTTATGTGCAATGTTTTTGGTGCGCCAAAGCCCCGAGAGCGATTCTCATGTCTTCCGTGACAAAATCGCTGCAATATCTCTGGCACTTCATGATCCTCTTGGGAATTCAAAACACTAAGCAAATACTGCTGATGTCTACGCGTGCCAAAGTCACAATTTCTTAATTGCTACTCGGGGCCTTGTATATCATTACAAGCGATATTGGAGATATTGGTTTGACACAAACGTCTCCCAGATTGGCGTTTGACAGAAGTAATTTAATTTCCTTGAAACGCTGGACAATATCCAGAACGGCTTTTGCCGCAGAACGACATCAAAAATGTCGTTGTTCATGATTTACGGGCGGCTGGGTAGATGTACCTTTTTTCTGTTTTCTCAGTTTTTGTGCAGATGCCTGGAATATATGTGACTTCGTGAAATTATCTTGTTGTTGCTCCGCCAGCTTTTTCCCTTTTTTGTTCGTGATCAATGAAAAATGTATTTATTCATTAATCTAAAAATATTTTCTATTTATTTGTTAAATCATATTCCTTATTTATTTATTTATTTATTTATTTATTTATTTATTTTGCACTGCCTGCATGCCCCGCTGCAGGCTTAGTTATTGCCACAGTTTTAAGTGAATTTTAAGTAAAGGCACTTTGGTACATGTACGTATATGTATTAATTCTGATTAGTAAACTACTAACATATCAGTAGTTATTAAAATAGAATATTGTAGAGAAAGAGAGAGAGAAAGAAATGTTAAAGAGATTACATGAGATAGTTTTGTTTTGCATCACACGTTTCTTGCTTTTTTGTAATGCCTTTGTGACAAGTAATTTTCCTTGGGATTTGTTATAAATGTAATTTTAAAAAGTTGGGACTTAAAAAATTAGTAAAAAAAAACTTTTCCGCCGTGTCATCTCTCTAAAGTTTGCTTATTGCACTCAATCACACCGTCATAACAGGGGACACAGCAGTCGGCGATGAGAGACTTGCCGTCATGAGAGGGACCAAATGATAACATTTGATAATAATTTTTGCTGTTCTGTCAGATGTTCCCTCATTCTGAAGAGATGTCATCATCTTTCCTCGGCGTTTTTATGTTGACTTTTCCCTCTCTCCTCTCAGTGCTTTTTATCTCCCGCTGCACTTACATGTGAGTCGCTAATGATATCTTCTTGATTTATGTCCGCGAGCTCCCACCATGATTTTGAACGGTTTTTATCTCGAAACCATATACACAGATCTACAGCGAGGACGAAGTCACAAGGGAGGCAGGGTGGAAGGAGAGAGACGTTCCCATTTACAAGCAATTTGATCAAATCCCTTATTTTTTGTATTACGATTAATGATATGGCTAGTGACACGCACTGTCACAGTCGCAGTCCTGCGTGCGTTACTAGGGACAATGTGACTCTCTCTTTGTGTCGCGCGTTTTAGCAGATTAGAGGGAAAACCCACTGGGATTCTACAAGGCGGCCGAGGCGCCACCGCTCCCTTGTTTTAGTAATTCCAATATATTTTTACTCAGACTTGCGTGGTTAAGTGCAGTAAATCAAGGGAAAGGCACTGCGTAAAAGTTATTCTCTATAAAATTGTTGTTTTGTTTTAATTCTGGCGGCCGTGCTTTTGGGTAATGTAGTTTGGCCTGAGAGAATTATAGTGTTGCGGCGGTGGGATTTTCTAATTGACGCTAATGCTCCATTTCTATGATGGAAAGGTTGATTTGTTTTGAAAATGTTTATTGTTTGAACTTCAAAATAGCAGATTTGATTGCAGTCCTTACGGCTTGCAGTGTATTAGTATAGCAACCTAATTTGGCATTTTTATACAATTAATTACCTTGGCTTTACCATATATTATTATCTTGCTTCGAAAGGAATTTGCAAAATATTTGATTTGATTGAAATCTTCACATTCTTTGGTTGTTATGTGGGCATCAGAGTCAATAGTTATTGAAATATATCAATTTGTTGTGAGAATTTTTTATAAATTTGTTATCACGGAGGGGGAATGAGAAATACGAAAATAAAGCAAATCGAAACATATCGGATTGGTTCTACTTAAAAAAAAATACTTAGGTGATGGAAGCACTAGACAAATGAGCAAAAATCCTACACCAAAGAAAAGCTAGAGAAGAACTAAGGGACAATTTTATTTCTCTGGATATTTTTTATTTGTCTCCGTCTTTATAACGTGCTTGCCTGTCTATCGTATAAACTCTATGATACTGCAGTAACACACACACACACATATACCTTAAACACACACACGCACAGAAACACCGTTGTAACATTATTTAAAATGAAATATTTTTCAAGGTTGCCAATTTCCAAAATGTCAATGGGTGGCATGACATAGAAAAACATTGTATCATAACACTATTTTAGCCACCATGTAAAAATGGCGACGACGGCAGCAAAAATAACAAAAATTCTCGTTGCCATGTTTCGACAACTTAGACTAGTATACAGCTTGAACAGGCTGTGAATTCCCAATGTGGCCCTAGCCTAATTAACAACGCCTTAGCGTCTCTTCAGCCTGTTCCGGAACCGTAATTAGTAAGACTTGGGAGCCTTAGCGTTGCTGTAATTAACCGTAGAGGCATCCAAGCGGACAGCGAAAAGGCTTGGTCTTGACCTCCCTTTGCCTTGATCAACATCAAATCAACCATCGTTACAAACCGTAGGAAATCACAGATTCCAAAAATGATATTTTTTTCTTTGGGGACAATGTCCTAATCGGGGAACATGCGACTTCGTGATTGAACGTGTCTCCAGTGAGAGCGCGTTCGCGGTGCCTGTGGGCCGGTAGTGGATTAGATCGCTGTCTGGAGACACGTTGTTTGTGTGTTTGTCGGCTCCTAGTTTGGAGCCCACAGGCAGAGCAATGGTTCACAGAACTTGGTTTTGGTGTCACCCCTTTTGATCTCGGAACGCATTATGTTGCACCATGATATGTTGTGCACGTTGTGGCCGCCATTGATTTGAACCCGGTGTTGTCAATAGTTGACAGCGTACAGATTTTCACAGGGTGATTTTATTGAATGTGTGGAGTCAATCTTCGATGTGCATGTGGTCATTCTATTGTCATGAGACACACATTGCAGGCAAAGAGACTAGAAAACTTTATTGTTTAAATAGAAGTTTGCATTTACACAGGGAAGCTACCGTGAACATTCTCCTGAAAGAGGTTTCGATAATCCTTTCTTTTTATCTCTTTATCTTCATTTAACGATCTACTTTGTCCCCTACTGTAAAATTTTCAGTGCATAATGGCCATGTATAATTATACCTTAAAGGCTTAGTGAGAGGCCATCACACTTCAGCCAAAAACTCAAAAACGCAGAACCATACAAGAGAAAGCTATCAGACTACCTAAGTTAAGCAAGTTAGATTCTGTTCGCATTTCCTTCCTTAACCTGCCTACGACCAAGTAAATTCACCGATCTCGTTTCAACAAGAGTGACTTACAAATGTTTTAAAATATCCATAGTTTTAACTCTATACATCGAGATCGAATATTCGCTGTATAAATGTAATTCAACAGCCCATGGAAGTTCGGCCAAAATGCGTTTCACGATTTGCATAAATTTGGCACCGTTGGCCTGACCCTTGCTTCATTTCGGTAGGCAGCATATGAGCCAGAAAGGCATCATGTTTGCATTAAAACAAATTTTCTGTATGGCGTTGAGCAGTCAACCTGAATGTTCAAAATCCACCCTCTAGTCTCGCACGAGCATTGACACTGGTAGTCAGAGCGTGTTGCACTTCATTATGCCACAATTATTACTTTCTCTTGCAGATTGCCATTGTGCTATCTTCAGCTGAACATTGCGAGAACATCTGGCCACTAGTGCTGTTTGCATGTGTTTACTTTGGCTGCATACCATTAGCTTGATGCTTTAGCTTATCGGTACTGGTACTAAAATGCATTCACTTAACTTCTTTACTTTTCCTGACATTTTTATCTTTTTTTCTACTACTGGCAACTGCTCTGCTCTGTCCCCGCTGACCTAGATAATTCTATACCTGATTATACTACTTATGCTTTTTATGTTTATTTAAGTCTATATTCCACGAAGAAATGCTATGGTTAGTACTGAGATGTTATTAATCCTGTGTTGTGAAATATTATGTTCGTCGGCATCATAAAAAGCTGAGATGTGTCGCGTTAGCCAAAAACCAATACCAAAAACAATAAAACTTGGTGGAATTTCATGGCTGTAAACATGGACCAATGATGACTTAAATCTCACGACTTAAATCTTAAATCTCTTTTGATCTTGTGAATTTTTGTCTTCAAAAATGAATGTAATGTAAATAATGTAAATTAAAAATAAAAAAACAATATGATGCAAAACCATGTTTTTTATCGAAAAAGCAGTACATAATTTCTGCAGCAGCAAACAGCACAGCGTATTTTTATCTTTATATCCAGTATATTCGCCAGCTTGGCTACATACTCGCGTGGCCCAATATCACTGCCATTGTCCACGCCGTCTGTCCGACTCCCAAAATCTATACTTTATCTGGCTCAGTCAAAAGACCAGGCTGATTTATCTGGTTGACATAGCCCGTCTGTGGAGTAGCATTATTGCGTAGATTTGTTCCTCTGCGTTAACTTAATCGATCTCTCAATCAGTACACCTGCCACTTCGATCAATAATCTATCAATAATTAAACAGGCAATTAAGGGTTCGAAAACAGGGGTTTATGCACCACATGTTTGTGTTCCAAGTTTGGCTTGTTCAGCAGATTGTTCATGGGTTGTTTTGATTCAATTTATGGGAAATCATTTTTCGTTTTTGTTTGTAGTCGAATGTTTAGATACCGTAAGCCGTTTGTTAGGGGAATTGCCAATAAGTTATGTGCACCGTATTTTTCTATCTGTTGATCACGGATTGGTATATAATGATCTTAAATGTTACTGTTGGCACTTGGTCAAGGAATAATGATGAAGTCTTCTGAAGCTCTGCTGGCTCTCATTAGTTAATTTTCTCTGTTTTCTCTTACTGTTCCCAGCTGTGTGTATACAATTCAGTATCTTTTATGCATTAAACACCTGTTTGATTGTGCATTGACAAAAAAAATGAACAATTGCAATGAAATATTGACGTCATTAATTTTATGGTCTGCGAGTTATAGTAGAACATTTTGTTCCAAACCTGTGTATTTTGTTAAATCTTTTCAAAGTTCACAGTCATAGCCGTCAAATCAAACGAAAACGATTTTTTTTATGAAACAAAGTTCAGTTAATGCGTCTTTTTTCTTTGCCCTGCGTTTGTCAGCAACAATAGGACATTGCCCTGAGCTATAGATTTATACATATTACGCAAACAATGCTTTTTCTTGTTTCGTACAGCTTTCGCCATCAGTGGAAACGAAAAGATATAGATAACAATGTAATGTTTTTGTTTTCAGATTCGAAAAATCTCTTCTCAACAATTTCTCGTGTTATGTGAGTACGGATGCGCCCGACAAAATACCATAGATAAAATGAAATCTACTAATTCATTTATTTTACTTAGTTTTTGCTTATTCAGAAATTTATTTTGGCATTCCTTACATTCACTCACGTATGTAAAATGCAAATCAAGATGTACGTCACAAAAACTATGGTGACGCATCTCCGAATTGATTAAATTGGGGTCCGCGTTGGTCAATTGGACCTCCACCCTTGGTTACCACAGGTGCTCTTCTTTTTTTTTCTATTATCAACAAAAAGACGCATTGGACACACCTGTTAGACCCACGTGCCAATGACCAAATATCGGCACGCGCACTCCTTTTCCCTCTACTCCGCACCCCTCATTAATTTCCCTCACCTGCTACGAACTGGGAGACATGAGGCTATTCATGGTCTGATTTATTTCATATGAATGGTTTTATTGAAATGCCACCAGTCGTATACAGACAAAAATCACAAGGTTTGTTTTGCTGGGCCTCTTGTGGGTTAAAGAGCGAATCGAAGTCCAATCGATTGGCATCAAATATTCATAATCACACTTGCTATAGGATACTGACTGCTTGAAAGGTGATTCAATTTGGCAACGTTGTTTATGCATCTTTAAGTTTTTTTTTCATTACTTTTTTGTTATTTTGTTTTAAATAACTTGTCAAACATGTCTTAAAAAGGATTCGAAATTATTAAAGTAATAGATATAACTAGGTGATGTAACTAGTATATTTCAAATATTATATTTAATTTCACGTACAATTGTCCCAGAGTGCTGGCAATAAAACAACGTGTAAAGACTGATCACATGTTTGTGTTAGTCATCAGGAAAAAGTATATGACATGGTGTTTTGTTGTTAAGCCACAGAAATACAAACTGTAACCAATGTTATTTTAGTTTACCCGTAATGCCACATTGGCAATACCAGCAAAAGCGACAAAACTGACCAAACCTCAGAGCAAAAACAAAGTTATGAAAAACACAAAGAAAATTATATTTGGAAAAAAGTATTCACTAAAACTCTTAAAATGGTTTAGCGTTGGATTTTAATAAGCAATAGTGATGATGATGTTGATATATATAAATAACAATAACAGCAAAAAGCATCTACAATATGTTCTGGCTATTTTGCCGTCGCCGGCCCTGTATATAGTACTGCATAGATACCAAAAGTGTCTCATACTCCGCAGTGCTAAGCGATACAAAAATCCCATCCTAATGAGCATCTCATCCAAAGCTTGCATAAAATCACATCTATAAAATGTATAAACGTTACGTTGCTTTCAATATTAAGGCTTTTAAGGAGACAGACTTGTTTAATCTTATAGCTAATTTTTTTGTGCCTCAGCGCCATTGAAGTTGCTACAAGAAGATAACAACAACATAACTATATTAGAGCACCGTGCATCGACGCTTTATGTTTGGAAGTTTAGGTAATCAGAATGTACCATGTTTACTGATGTCTAATAAGACATTAGTCTTGAAATCGGGACTAAAAATATAATGCCCCTCAAAAAAGAGTTACAAATATGAAGCCGCCCGAAGGTAGTTGTCAAGCAAGCATAATGTCATCATGTGATTAAAAGTTGTTTACCAAGCTTTACTATCGAAATTTCCTAAAAGCCTTGATCCCAGGTCACTGCTTGAATATCGGTGATCAATAAAAACAATCAATTCCACACACAACCAATGTTAAGCGCTAAGCAAACCCGATACCATAACAGAAGACACCACAATTTTCTTAGCCCCACATAGAGAGGGGGACGCACACGTCATTGGCGGCTCTACTGTTTTAGCACAAATGGTTCTATACAATCGACAGTCCCTTGTTGTGAAAAATGTAAACTCGGTGCCATGCAGTATCACTGATGGTAAACTATGTTCGTCTTGAAAACGATTTCGTCTTACCTCAACAAGACATGTCCATTATCAAAACCATTTATACATAAATATATTACATATTGCACACATTGTCCGCATTTTCAATTGAAATAAATCAATTGCCAAAAAGTAATACATCTTTCTAACAAAGCACACAGCATGTGTAATACTATATGTCATTTTACTATATTACCGTGTCAAAAAATTGGCATTCAAAGTATATTTACAAGATAAAATTCAAAAACACTTCAACGAACATTCCTACAAAAACAGAGTTACAACAAATGACTGCTATATATTTCTTCCCGCAGCCAATACTATATATATTTACAGTGAACTTGACGTCCCGATAATGTATAGTTTAAACTTTGAAAAAGTCATAACACATGTACATTAATTAAAATCTTAGATATCAATACTTTTAAAAGCTATATATAAAAGTTGCGTTTATACAGTCACAGACTGTAATGTCAAGAATTGCATATTCCAGAGACGCCAAAGCTGCAGTGTTGTCCGCGCGTTGTCAAAGAGTATTTAGTATGTATTACGGAAGTACTGGTTCGAAATGATTCAGCAGTTTTCTTCTTTTTTTCGGAAGAATAATGGTAATTCGAATAGCATATACTGCCTTTTGTCTATTTTCTATAATATCACACACGAAACCTAACTTCTTTTTAAATTAACCTTCTGATGTTTTCAATAAATAGTTTGTCTGGTTTAATCATAACTGCTGCCTTATCCCAAAACTGAGATACCTGAGGTTAGAGATGGATCTTCTTTTTATTTTTCACAGCGACCACAAGTAATTATGATAAATAATGATATCATATTCATACATACATACATAGTAAGTTAAATAAAAAAATCCAATAAATTAGCATATAGGCATAATATGCTCCGTAGACTAATAAAAGAGTGGAATTTACAGCTGGATTTCTTTTTGTCACATCTTCACAAAACGCTCGGTGATCGTACCCTTGCGGAATGACTTGGATTTCACTAGGCACCGTATGGTTCAAGTTAATGAATGTCAATGCGATTTTGCATTCAGATGTCTGGAGAACAGCATTACAATCAAACAGTTCTCAGTGGCAGCGAGCACCGAAACTTTGTAGCCTCATTCCCATCAAGGGTTACCGACCTACTCTACTCTCTGCATAGGAGAAATTTGTAACGGTTGAGAGGCTGCCTGGCGGAGAAGGGGCGAGGCTTGCCTGACAGGCGGATGAGTGTGTGCGTGGGTCGTCGCGGCAGCCAAATTGACCGCGTTCAACGCAGCGGCGGCGTCCATTGTGTGCTGCGTCTCCATGTGGCGTCGAAGGTCAACTTTTCTCTGGAAAGCCCGTCCGCATGTGTTGCAGGAGAAAGGTTTGAATCCAGTGTGTTTGCGACTGTGGGTTATCAGGTTTGAACTTTGACTGAAGGCTTTCCCGCACTGCATGCATTTGTGGGGCTTCTCGCCTGAAAAAAAAAGTTGTATAACTGTTGTAATTGCAGTTTGCATCACATCTCCATCACCATTGTTGGGAAATAAATGCAACTTAAGAAAAAAGATTTGAGCTCTCAAGAAATGAACATCAAGGGTTTTCTTTTATAAAATCAGTGTCGTCGTTGACAGATGAAACACTCTTGCTATGATGTCATCGTAAACCACGTGATCCTCACCCTGAGGACTTGTACACGCACTTCCAACTTCTTTTCACTCAATTATATCAGGCACCAGCGGGTCTCCTCCGACATGAGACTTAATTTATTTTGTATTATTCTCGATCTCATTACAAAAAGCACACTTTTACACTCGAACCAGGCATGATCGACCATTAGGAGCAATTAGCCGACTCTCTATAGGTTGATTGTGTTACTAGTTATCCCAGTGATTATTTAGCACGTACGCCGCCGCGTGTGTAGACGAACGCTGCACAGCGGAAGCTTTAATGGCCTTATTAATCCGAGCATCAAGTCCTTTAACTCCACTCGAATGAACGGCGGTTAATTCCCTTTATTTCAATAAGTATCTCCTAGCTAATTCTAGTATTGGTCCATTACATTACGACTTAGAGCATTCTATGGAAAATCGATGAGTAGCGATGGGATGTGAAGTCACAGTATTAAGTGGGAAGGCGTTGTTTGCTAAGAAGTGAGACATCTTCAACCGAGGAAGTGGTTTATGACAAGAGGAAGTATCTTTTTAAGAGTAGGAAGGAAGGAAGGAAGGATTTTCCGTGCTGATTTTCCTTCTGTAAATGGTTTCCTACGTCATCCTAAAAACATTCCTCAAGAAGTTATAGCTCATTTTAAGTACTTTAGTAAGGCGTTATTTAAGCCTATCAGTTTGTGAATACCGCTTTCAAAGCCTGACTTTGATTTGCATTTGGTCCATTGAATCATTTGACTTGTTACGCAGTGCCTAAATATGTGTCTGTTTATCTTGTCTCGGTCATTTAACTTTCAACTTCAGATCATTGATTCCAATTTCATTTTTGTGATATTTACATGTACCCATTCAGAGTAAGTCCTGTTCGGCGTTGACATTCTCAAATCTGTGTGCCAAATGGCATACAGACAGAGAGAATGATGACAGATAGTGATGGTAAAACAAATGTCAGTGCATCATTGTCTCTTATTATTAATTATGTATATTCTTAGCAAGCTGCAAATAAGCATATCAACTTCAAAAAGAGAAAGCGGCACATGTGTATGGAAAGCTAGTTTGTGCCACAAATTACGTTTTATGCAAATAAGTTTATAAAACATCTTTGTGAATGACAATTGTGTTTTAATATTATAAAGCATGCATTAAAGCATACATTTTAATTCGTGTTGATTGCAAAAATATTATTCTTTATCACATATGCACTCACACAGTCCAATTTTTTTTTTTACTGAAAGATAGCAGTGGCCATTGACCTTAATTTATTATAATCATATTCAGGGCACAATGATAAAAAGAGCAGATCCAAAAATGACGTCAAAAAGTTCCACCAGATTATATTGGTCCACGTTCACTGGACCAGCTGGAAACGGGAGTCGAACAGAAAGGCATGAACATATAACGAAGAAGGGAGAATCGATCTGTTGAAATTTTGGTCTCTGCGGTACGCACGCTTCTCCTCTGTGTTGTCTGCGCTACAACTGCGGTATGTGTTAAGTTAGAGCAGTGGCCTGTCCGGAGAGACTGCAAGACGTGTTAATCATATTCATCCCAGAAATCAGATTGCGGGTACATGGTAACTCTGGGTGTCAAAATCGAGTTCGAATAAAGGCCTCTAGACTCTGTACTTTCACGGGGTGGGTCCTAGGGAGCGTGGTTGATGGTTTTTAAGTGTACGGAATTATTGCGTTTACGCCCGAGACACCAGATCTGTTCACTATCAGAAAAGAGCGGCCCACAAGTGGAGGTGAGCGTATTCGCTCCGGTTCTCAAAAAGGTGGCAATAGAGACCCGCCGTTCCCAGCGTGTTGCGGTGCTACACATAGCCCCCATGGTTTTTGTGTGAGATGGATTTAGAAACGACTATGTTCTGTTTTGTAATACGTGTCAGCGATCGTGCACCCAGGGGCTTTAACAGCGTGCTTTGGTTTCACTAAGATAAGACAATGCCTCCTGTAATTAGCAAACTTGTGCCACTTGGGGGACACAGTAACGGGCCTTTATTGCGGAGCCAAACACCTCCATCGACATCCAAGCAATCAAAGCCAATTCTAAGTGATTTTAGATCAACGTTCATATTGCTAGGAATGAAATTATATGGCCATTGTTCCCCTTGCTTCGGAGTTAATGTGTCGGTTAACACATGCGGCAGACCTTCTGCATCCATCCTGAAATGACTATTTAGGTTTGAAAGGTGATAAAAATGACTGCGTATATGTATACATGTACAATTCTCATTCTAAAAATGTTCGCTGCCCCTGAGATGTGATGTTGCTTCAATGGACCACAGCAAGGGAAGTTTTGCCAAAAGGAGATTTTATATTCAACTACTTTCCATAAATACAATGTGTGTGTGCGTGCACACACGCAAACACACACACACACACACACACACAGAGAGAGAGAGAGAGAGAGAGAGAGAGAGAGAGAGTACTCTAGGTCAACATTTTGAGTGATGAAATGATACACTTATATTTGTTTTAACCTTTTTGATTTTATATCTACGGGATCTAATAGTCGCTTAAAATATCCCTTTCACTTGCTAGTTTTTCCTAAATAGTTCTCGTTTTATACCTTATATCTACAACTTAACAATATATTTTTTCATTGCACGACACGCTCGTTTTGCACAATCAGTACCTCTTCTACCACTACTACTACTACTACTACAACTTTTTCCACGGCAGTCCATGCACTGCCAGAAAGATAAACCACGTAATTATGAATTAATGAACAAGAAGAAATTATCATTATATTAATTATAAACGAAGTACACACGCGTGGAGTGTTGGCGTGAATTGACAAAAATAATACATCAAAGCCGATAAAACGAAACGAAAAACGTAGATTACATCAAATTATCATAGTAATTTTTGTTAATTGATGTAATAATGAACCCAGTTCAAGTGTGAATACGGCAGCGTTTCTTAACGTTTGACTCAGAAACTGCAGAACAGATTGCCCGAGCAATTTTGCAAATTTGTAACTAACATACTTAACGTTCTCTATTTGCATACAGTTGTGTTATTTGCCAAATAAGGGGAGAACATCAAATATGTAAAAAAATTTCAAGAAATAAATCAAAATTAAAAAAATTCACTCCTTACCCGTGTGAATATAGGTGTGTTTCTTCATGTCGGACTTCTGATGGAATCGTTTACCGCAGTACTGGCAAGGGTAGGGCCGGGTATCACTGTGTATGAGAAGATGGGTGGAGAGAGTTGACGACCTCTTAAATGTCTTCCCACACTGTTTACACTGGAATGTCTTCTCCTGGGTGTGGACTGCCCGATGCTGGGTCAGACTAACAGCATGGCCGAACGTCTTGTTGCAGATATCACACGCGTACGGGCGCTTCCCGCTGTGGGATCGCCTCACGTGCACCTCAAGCCCGTGTGGTGTGCTGAACAGTTTCTTGCACTTGACGCATTCGTAGGAGCCGGACGCGTTCTCGCCATAGACGCCGTCGTCGCTGAGAAGGGCGCCGTGCTCGCCGCCACCGCTGCAGGGTAAAATTGATGCCGGGCTAGTCAGGTGCTTTCCCCCTACGCCCTCAGCAGACGGTTTTAAAAGCTGGGAGGTATTCCATAGGTAGTGTTGGTCAAGTGCCCGCAGTGCTGTTTTGAAGGCAGGGCTGGCAAAGTAGGTTCTGTATATATCAGTGTAGCTGAATTTCCCCTCGGATTCCTTCATAAGAGTTCGCAGTTGGTCAGCTGAAAAAAGTATAGTTTGAAATATTTATAATAATAATTTTGGTTTTAATTGGAATACTTAATATACATTGTCGAGATAAATTAAATATAATATGTATTAATGTTGTAATGTTCATGGTGTTCATACTGTTTACGGTTGGACTCGCTCACTTGGCCAGCTGAGAACAAATTTGAGATCTAATTACTTGTCAGCTGAATTACTATCAATATTCATTTACACTTTTAATAAAGGTACTCAACCTGCGATAAAGAAACGAGTACATTTTTTTTTCTAATTTTGCTGCGGCTCGTTAAAAAAACAGGAACTTTCTCATTCTTTTGTACGGATCCATGTAATTTATCCACTGTATAAAACGATCGTTTCTTTTGTTTGGAACAGGACACCATTATTTTGAATTACACGAATCTTCATTATCCAAAAGCAAAATCTGCTAGAACAGGCAATCCTAAGATGTTGGGTTTTTTAATCAGATCACGCTCATAGCGATAAAGAACAGATACTGATAATTAATATTAAGATTAATGAACTGTACTTTTCCAGTGACATTGTTTAGTGATGGATTCTTTTATTTCATCTTACTCGTGAACTGAGGAGAATATAGATAAGTGATGGTTATAATTTAACCTTACAATACTGTAAAGACAAGTCATCCAGGCGTTTTTTATTTGAATAATTTGTAATCTCGTTCATAAGTACGTGTGTCTGTCTATCAAGAAATTATTTACAAACTTTGTTTATACACCTAACATTCTTATATAGGAAAAAATATAACATCACACTAATTAAATGAATTTAGAAAATTGAAGGTCCCCTTCTTGAGTTTTGAATGGCTTCATTATAACTACTTTTAGAATAAAGCTTGAATAGTAAGTTAGTCTCATATTTAAGCAGTGCGTTATTTTTCTGTTGAAGGAGTCACTGGTGAACGCACGGAAAATGAGGGTTTCATTTAGACGTCTTGCAGTCCCACAAGTACTTTAGCTTCCCTAATGGAATCGTCATTAATGAAATAAATGTAGTTAGTAGTGGACTATCGTAAAGTTGGTCAGCCAAGATAGGTAAATGGGGACTTATATGTTAATTACAAGCATACACTTGATCGATAGGGGCTTCGAAGAAGAAAGACAGCTTGGCCTCAGTTTTTATGTTTCAAAAGATGCGCGAATCACACTCATAATAAGAAGCAAGAGAACAAGTTTCCGTAATATTCTAATGAAAATTATTTACAAATTAGCTTACAACTGCGTGAAAATATATAGGATTTCTTTTTTTAATGGCTATTGAATAATAAGAAAAAACAACGAGTCCAAAAACGAGCGCCTACAGGTAGATATCAATTGAAGGTGTGACTTGATGCAAAACCTCCAAGCGCTTGCAACGTTGTGAATTGGGACCTTCACAAATATACGATCGTCACGCGAAAAGGTAATTTCTTTATCCAGAGGCGCTCAAATCGTTCATTCATAACTTTCTTCGTTCACCCCACGGGGGCAGAAAACATAACCCACGAGATCGTCAAGGCCTGAGAAAAATTAAGCACGTGTTCTTCGGAAGACGTATGGCAAGATACAATTGTTTTTGAAATAGATTTCTGCCCATCCGCTTTGAAGATTGACGCGTACATAGTTCTCGGTACACACACAGGATAACTCTCTTTCTCGCTCTGTGTCTGTCTCTCGGAAGCTTGAACATAATTCCATCCCAAGGGACGAATAAAAAACTAATTCCTCAGCCTGAAGAAATCAGAGCTTAGATGACCCCAAATGTCGCAGTGTGATTAGAAATAGAAAGCACAATACGTCGATCTGTTCGTCGCTTCAATCAGTGATCAAGCGAAAATTGTCTTTTATATATGTAATGTGTCAACTGTCAGCCATAACGACACCCGAGGGAGCACATAACGACAACCGACTTGCGGCGACAAGATTGTCGTTGACAGTTTGAAAGGAGCAATGATTGTATTGGGTTAGTGCTTATCCATCATGTAAGACATATTGAAATAAGAGCCCCATTTCATATCAATAATGTAAGAATTGCACGTCGCACCGATGTCAGTAATTGATACGCGCACTTAAGAAAATATATGGGATGGTAAAAGAGCCACGGTGAAAATCCGTCAAGAGCACAGGAGACAAATTACAGTGTTGTCCGTCAAAAATATCTGATCCGAGGAACCGGCGGCGTGAGAAACACTGGTGTAATGGACTCGCAGGCGTACTTCTCTTTGTTAGAGTAAAAATTGGAAGACTCTCAGCTAGTCACGAGAGTGAGAGAATTAGAAATGATGGAGTACTCGGTGGCAGTGAATTCATGGTAACTCACGCACTTGTGCGTGTGTGTGAAAGAGATTAGAATTAGAATTCAATTATGTATTTTTTTCTTACAAATTATGACATAGTAAACACTCATACACAATTCGGTAACGAATCTGTTAAGTGATACATTCTTTCTTGGGGTAAAAGTAATCCATCATGCCGGTCACTTGTGTAAAAATTACTACAGAATCTACAACCGTTGTTCATAAAGGTAGGCGCAATTAATTGCGGGAACTCAACAAGAACTTGGACTTGTCTTTCTTTTTACTATTGTCGTTTTCTAAAAAAATAATAATAAACCAAAAAAGATAATACAAAAACAGTATTATTAAAACCAGTATTTTGACCTAATATATGTCATTACTTACCGTTGGGGGCAACCGCAGCCAGGTGAGAATAAATGTAATCTTCGGCTGACCATGGAAGGTAGAAGGGTTTCAAGGTGAAACTTCCCTCGAACGCGGCGGGCGGAGACGTCCTGAAGGTCGGATACGGGCTAATGGGGGGAGACATCGGACTGGTTGAACCGCCACTACTATTGGGACTGGAGCCACCGACTCGGATGTCGCTTATATCTAGAATAAAATGGAGATCATAAGGAAAATTGGACAAAAAGACGTTGTGACAGGGGGAGTGCCTTATGTCAAAGTAATATTGCTGTCAATCTACGACACCGTACATTTTTTTCATATCTTTGAATTTGTCAAGGTGTACGACGTGAATTCCACTTGGAGAAATGTTGCTGATTTCCCCTAAATAAAGCCTCGTCAAGGCGAAGGGAAAGTCACCCATCCGAAACAACGTCATCTACCATTTTATTATTTTAAAATGATGTTCTGGTACTTGCTGCTGAGTGGCTTTCATTTTTATTTCTATTAGGGACAATGACGACTTCTGATCAGCCAGTATTTTAAATTATTTATGGGGACAACCGTAAAATACACAACTGCATAACTATCTTCGTAAACATTTTTATTGACATGGATATGATTTTGTGTTGAAGATCGATCTAGAGAAGATGGAAATGCTTCTGTTTTGGATGTTTATTTCTCTACTGGTGGACAACAGTACTGTCTTTGTTTAATTTATTATTTATTTTAGATGCCATTTTTGTTTTTAAAGTACTTTTCAATCCGAATACGACCTATTTACGTGTTTGTTTAAAAAGACTAGTTTTGCATGGTGAGAGTACATGCTGATAAGTAGTTCTATTCAGCCCTATTTGCATTAAGGCGTTTCAAATCCTGCGAGTCGAATATCGCACGAAACGACGGGAATTAAAATGATTTTTCTCGAAGAACGCCTTATAAACTGCATATTATATTATTTGGTGATTATAAATAAATTAATATTGCCAGTGTTTCCTAAGCCGCGCTGAATTTGTAATATACACCTCTCGTAATAAATAAATAAATCAGTGGAAAATAACAAGTTTCAGTGATGGCTGACACTGGTTGTTTCTATTGAATTTTTATTACCATACATCACGCATGATGCGGGTTTTAAAGCACAAATCCATATGCACACTATTCATAACAGCTTTTCACTCGCTAAATTGCCTTATCAAACATTTAAAAAAGACACGGTGCTTCAGAATACACTGTAAAAAAAGGCATTCACCCATCGCGACAGATCGGCGATAAATTATCTTCGGAGAAATCTAAGTAATTTTCATGTCAGGTTACATTCATGAAAGTATCAATTTATAGTTCAGCATCAAATTATCTTTTCTCTTTCTCCCTCAAGCAAGAAGAGCGGATATTAATTTCCACGTAACAATGTCATGACTGTATCATAAGTGAATTTGTTAATAAGCAGGCTTCCAATGACTAATTAATCACTGAAATATTTCTAAAAAAGAATATGAAACCTAGATAATAGTAACAGTAACACGAACACTTTCACTACCACACCTTTTCTTTGGTTAAATATCTTTAAATCTAAATGGTTAAACGGCATGGCTGTGCCGAACTTACCGTTACGGTAGCGCTGTGCTAACGGCAGCATTTTGAACATGAACGATTGCGTTACAACAAATATAAAGTAAGACTGCCCAGTGAAGAAATAACAAGAGGAATATCTGTAATTTACTCTAGCGTGATGAAACCGTCCTCATATTTCCCCTCATTATCGCCAACATCAACGCTTAGCTTTGTCTTTTGTCAAAAGCTTCTTATTCTTAAACGGTTTGAACATTCTTCATTCATAACTTGTCTTCATTTAGTCGTGGTATGGCGCACAAATAAACAGAAACAGAGCGAGGCGTAACTACCGTTTCAAAATCTGCGGTTTCACTCTGATCATGAGGTATTCAAAGGCAAAGTAATATTTACATTGCCAAAGTTGTAACTCTTTCTTCTTCCTTTCCGTTCGTTCTATTATGCCGCAGTATAAACTACTCAAAGAAAGGGCAGGATTCCTCAATTTAGTTGAATGTTTTGGTATGAGGTTTATTAAGATTTGGGGAATGCAGTTATTAAGAAGTTATTAAGGTAAAGCGAGTAAATCGCGCGAGGATAATTTGTGGGGGAATCAGGCCTTTGTTAGGCGCACGACAAAGCACGCTTCGTCGTTCCATAAATAATCTTCGGTCAACTATGTATTCAACAAGTGTGTGTTTTCTCAACAGCCCGCCATGTTTGTGTCTTCTTGATACTGTTATCATATACCTGAAGCAAA